TTAGATCCTCCACCTTTTGCATTTCTGTACCGCTAAATCTCATCCACAGTACTCTAACTAAAACTAGGACTAACCTTAAATCCAAATTAACCAACCTAAAGTGCCACTATTAAGTGTTCATTGATTAGTACTGTTTTAATAAAACGATAATTTTTTGCGTCTAGTGAAAATTTTCATTGAAATCATGCCCAATAAATCTAAGATATTCAGTATGCAACGTGGCAGATTCAAGTTGATATTCTAGAGAAATTATTTAAGTTATATTATGATGTTGGCAGGCAAATGCACAGATTGATTTTTAGGTGAAATCCCCAAAAGCATCGAATTCAGCTTACTACATGTCATCGAATCCTGGGATGCTAATCCTGCTATTTTAATTTGAATGGGCCTTGATAGTCTTGATTAACGGGGCATATCATGCATTCATGCATATTCATGCATAAAGCTTGTCTTGAGCTTACATGAGGAGAAAGCTTATTTCACAATTGCAGCACCATGTCAAATTTGTTTTGCCACAATTATCTACCGCAAATAACCATTTGAAGATTAGCTTGGTAATGTAATCTATATTCCAATCTCATGACTGAGTTGCTAAGCTTGGAAATAGGGTGCAGCAGATATACAGAAAAATTCTTGTCAATTACAAGGCTCTCCTTGCACACTTGTAAGACGTGTTGAACATGATATCATTAATCCGAATTTGAACTTAATAACGCAAAACTAACACTTACTCGGAAATATGGTAATTAATAGCCTCATTTCATTGAGATGTTATCGAAATTGGTAATGGATATTGGAATATAATTTTATGCTTATTAAAATCAAATTTAAAACAAAATTTTTTGTAATATAGAGGTAAAGGTAACAAGATATGCGATTTCAGCAATGGCTTAGTAATGGTATGCAATCAAATAAAGTTTGTAGAAATGCTGATGTGTATTGGAAATCTAGGAAAAGCGAATTCAAAAAAAAAAAAGGGCAAATTCCACTTTATCCCCCTGTAGTTTAGCATTTTTTTACATAACCTTCTTATGGTTTCAAAAACTATATATAACCCCCTCATGGTTTGGATTAAAATATCAAAGTGACGGGAATGATCATCCATAACGGAGTCACCTAAAATGTCAAAAATACCCTTATATAAAGTTGAAAATTATTTATTAACCAAGGGGGGTTATATGTATATTTTGAAAATTATAGGGGGTTATATGGTAAAGTATTAAATCATAAGAGGGTTATATGGTAAAATATAAAAATCATATGGGATTAGTGTGTCATGTATTTATAAGGTAATTTCGACATGTTTAGAAGTTTCATTACGAATGACTATTTCCGTCACTATGACACTTTAATCCAAACCATGAGGTGATTATGTATAGCTTTTGAAACCATAAGGGGGTTATGTAAAAAAAAGGCTAAATCACAGGGGGGTAAAATGTAATTTGCCCAAAAAAAAGACACATAAAACTCTAAATACTAAGACCTTGTTTGGATTGTGATTTTTTGCAGAAAATTTTTTATATTTTTCATGAATACATTTCTCAATCACCTTTTATCTCACATTTGTGGTCATCATTTGATTTCAGAAATGGCTTAGTATTGGTATTGAAGGATTACCATAAAATCAGCATACTTACGATTTTATATATTGGTTGAAAGTGAGTGGATAAACTATTTTTTATGTGTTCATTTAAATTACAGTACAATAAAAGTAGCTTTAATGATGTAAATTTGGGATGTTAAAACCATTTAGTATTATTTTCTAACCAGCCAAATTTGTCAAGCATTAAATTGGAGGATATCTAGCTTTTCTACTAGCTATTAGCTAAGTGATTTAATACTTTCAATTTAAAATTTCAATGCTTCAGTCACCAAGACCAGGTACATGATTTCAAGTTGTTTGTATATCCCATCTTCATGTATTACAAGTTACGGCAGCCTATGCCTTTTAAAATCCCTATATGGCAAGGTTTTATGTTCAACCAATTCAAGAGAGTAACTAAATTAATTTCTATATGAGCACTTGACTCGCAGCATAGATGTTCATGCATTATTAACCTATGGATTTTAAAATTCCTGTATGGCAAGGTTTTAATATCCTTGAGTGTGTTCATCCAAATTCAAGACTGACTAAATTAATTTCTACACAAGCACTTGACTCCACAGCATATATAGTACCAAACAGAAGATATATTACTTGCGTATCCTGTTGGTTTTACAGTGACGAATATTCGGCATGGCTCCGAAAAATTGTTTTTTGTCTGCCTTCTTCGTCATCATGTCATTTTTGTCCAGTTTTTGTTCTTGCAGAAGTGCCAGGTCGCTTAATGTAACTCTAGCTGGTTATTCATCGGCAGTAGCAACATTTTATGAAGGGAGTGGTATATATGCATTTTTTACAAGACGCACTTGACTACAAATCTGCTGTTCAAATCATTTATTTTCATTTTGATTCACACAGGCGGAGCATGCGGATTTGGAAATGAAAATGACATTGCTCAGCCGCCTTTCTCAAGCAAGATAGCTGCTGGAAACCGAGCCCTATTTAAACAGGGCAAAGGTTGCGGCAATTGCTATGCGGTAAATGCTTACTCTGCACATTTTTGTTGGCTTGTATAAGTTACTTATATAATGCTGGTCACTGGTAGCTTAAATCGTGATACGCGTTTATTTCACCTAATTTTTTATTCTAATTTCAAGAATCAGTGTCTTGTATCATGCCCTTGTATTTTTTCTGTGTCTGAATTTTAGATTTTTCGATTGGCAAAATGGTTAGATCCTATAAACCCATCCAATATTGCAAAATCCGCAGCAATCAAGAGCAGCCTATAATTTTTTTCTTTTTTGAAGAATGCCTGCTTGATATTTGAGGTAGCTAACTATACCCGGGATGGTTTCTTGGTTTTCAAATGACTCGTGCATGCAATTTCAGGTGCTATGCAGTGCAAACGTTTATAGGGCATGCTCTGGTTCTCCGGTCAAGATAACAATCACAGATGAGTGTCCCAATGCCTGCAACAATGATCCTGTTCATTTTGATTTCAGTTCAACTGCTTTTGGTTACTTAGCAAAGCCAGGCCAGGCCGATGTTTTGCGCAAACTTGGTAGAATCAACGTCCATTATCAAAGGTGAGCAAATAGCAGACTTGCAATGAAGTTTTTGCCAGTAAATTTCAGGGATAAAATAGAAGACAAAATTTTTTTTTTTCTGTACTATAAATATATTATTGTTACTGAAGTAATTTTCGGGATTAACTCGTGCAAATGTAAAGGGTGCCATGCAACTATGCTAATCAGAAGATTGCGTTCAAAGTCGACCACGGTTCCAATCGATACTACTTTTCTGCTGCAATTGAGTACGAAAATGGTGATGGAGACGTTGCTTCTGTGGAGATCCAACCGGCGGGATCCCGGCGGTGGTTTCCGATGCAACAAGTGTTTGGTGCAACATACGAGTACAACATACCAAAGGGGACAAATGGGCCGTTTTCCATCCGGTTGACACAAGTTGAATCCAGACGAAGGGTTGTGGCAAAACAGGCGATTCCAGCTGATTGGGAGCCTGGCTCACGTTACATATCATCTGTTAATTTTTGAATAATCTTGAGCATTCTGTAGCTGGCAAGCAAAGGGCTGAATTGAGATTATCAGTCAGTCTAAGGGACTGTTTATCTGTTGGATTGTGGCCAAACATATATTATTGCAATCAATGAAGTGGGATCTTGAGGATGAAGAATTATGCCAATTTCTGGCCAATTTGTTCTAGAAATATTTGATCTCAAGCAACCCAAAATGGTGATGAGATTAATAATAAAAAAATAATTAATTCAGAAATACTAGGAAGTAATATACAATTAGTCTAAATTCAAAAATTGTCAGACTTAACTCATGATCTCAGAATTTTCGTTGATCCTTTGAATGACTTAGGCCAGCTTTTTCTCTTCCTGAAAGGGGTTAAAAAAATAATAATAAACCTCTATTTCTTTTACCTGTGTACACGTACTAATAAATATCTCTAATAGTATTCTGATAGAACCTTGATCTTCTTGAAATTTTAAGTGCTGTCATTTCGTGAATTCTATCATTTTCAAGCTTTTGTCTAGATATAAGACTTCAAATATGATTGATTAGAGCATGTGAATTCTCCTTTGTACTTTAAAATTAACTTTCAAGTTTTAATTGTAGCCATGTAATACCAAGCAAAAAAAAAAAATTTTTTTGATCCATCACAACCTTCTAAGCTTTTAGAATTAATTAATGACGGCTTGATCTTATGTCAAAAAAAAAAAAAATTAAAATAAACCATAGGCCTTTCTCTCTCTCTTTTTTTTTTTGGACTGATTGCTTGTTTTAGAAATCCTAAAGAGACCTCTAAAAGTTTTAATTGGTTTGTAATACTAATGTGCGAGAAGGTAGCTAAGGCCAACGCACAAATTAACAAGAAACACAGAGTTTAATTTTCTTGACCTGAAATTGAAGGGACAAAAACAAGTCAGCAGTTAGAACCAGTCTTACTTTTCTACTTCACTGGACGGACGAGAGAAAAACACTCTTCACTACTCCTCCACTCACTCCGCAAAATATACTCGGCATCTTTAGTACGCAGCTCTACCTACAAGAGAATGTAAACTTTAATAAAAACAACTATCCTACCATTCATTTATCATTCTCCGCCGTCCGTTTGGTTGTTCACAGCGCAGCGCCACCGTGACAATGTCGTAGAAAAAGTCCTTAACTTCTTCTTCTCCTTCCACTTGTCACACCCACTATACTCACACTCCTATTTTTCTCTACCTCTAAATCTCATCCACAGAACTCTACTCAAACTAAAAACTAGGACTAACCTTCTTTTGACCATATAATGTAAACTTCCAATTGAACAAACTCTTGCTACAAAATGAAGCTGGCTCCAACCCTCTGTTGTACATATTTCCCAGTGCTTGAGTAATTAACTTCTTCTCCTTTTAAAATAAATTTTTTTTAAAAAAAAATTTATTTTCATGGATTGTACAGAAGATCAACCACCAAAGTTTAAACACTATTGTAGGATATGCAAGAAGGGTTTCATGTGTGGGAGAGCTTTAGGTGGGCATATGAGGGCTCATGGTATTGGAGATGAAGGTGGAAGTCTTGATGACGATGATGTTGCAAGTGATTGGGAGGATAAATTTGGAGGGGCTGATAGGACATGTAGAAGAATGTACCAGCTAAGGACAAATCCGAATCGACTAAAAAGTTGTAGGATTTGTGAGAACTGTGGTAAAGAGTTTGCCTCATGGAAATCTTTCCTTGAACATGGCAAATGTAGCTCTGACGATGCTGAGTCATTGGTATCTTCTCCAGGATCTGATGGAGAGTACGAGGGGGAGCGAAAAGGGTGTCAATGGTCTAAAAGGAAGAGGTCATTGAGGACTAAAGTGGGCAGTTTTAGCTCAGCTTATCCTTCAAGTGAGGATGAAGATCTCCTCCTGGCAAGATGCCTAGTAGATTTAGCAAATGCTAGGTTTGAAGTTGAGCCGGAAGAATCTTGTGCTTCCGCCAGTAAGGAGGAAGAAAGGCGGATTAATCCGGTGACGGCCTACTTTAACACTCCCCTAATTGCAAGTCGAGTCCCTTTAGACAAGCCTAAAGGTGCATCCAAAGGCTTGTTTGAATGTAAAGCATGCAAAAAAGTGTTCAATTCTCATCAAGCACTAGGAGGACATAGGGCAAGTCACAAGAAGGTGAAGGGCTGTTTTGCAGCTAAGCAAGATCAGCAAGATGATAGCAGTTTAGCTGATGACGATGTGACCATCCATGACGAATTCTTTCCATCCAAATCTCCTTCGTCCTTACAATTCGAACAAGGCCCAACAATGGCAGGAGCTTCTAGGAGAAAATCCAAAGTGCACGAGTGCACAATTTGTCACAGGGTCTTTTCTACCGGACAAGCCTTGGGTGGACACAAGAGGTGCCATTGGATCACCTCCAACTCCCAGGAAACTTCTTCGCTAGTGAAGCTGCAATTCAATCATGATCACATGGATCATCAAATACTACACCAGGGTCCACCATTAATCAACAAGTCCGAGACACTAGATCTCAACATCCCGGCAACTCAAGGCGATCATGAACTATCGGGCATATTAAGGCCTCAAAATCCATTGAGCTTTGAGGTCTCTACTGATATTCGCCTTCACACATGGACGCCCAATTTAGGTGCAGAAACAAAATGTGATAGCCAGAATTGCCATCACCAGAACGATGATGATCAAGGCAACGAGAATGATCGCCACAATGATAGTAACAATATCAACAAGAACAACATAAATTGTAGTAACGGTCCAATTGAAAATGCGGACGATGAAGCTGATAGTAAGGTGGAGCTGGCAAAGCTAAGTGACCTCAAAGATATAAACTTAAGTGGAAATTCTTCACAGTGGTTACAAGTTGGAATTGGTTCAACAGCTCGAGTCAACACTAACCCCTAGGTATTTTATTGCTGATCCAAATTGAGATTTGATTATACGTCTTCTTGTATCATCATGCACAATACTCATAATTAGCGATCCAAATGTACATGGAAAGTTTTTCATTCTCGTGACACTTTTTATACTACTTCTGTTCACTTTTTGAAAGAGCTGTAGAGGGATGGATATTTTTTTGAGAGAAAATTCTGAAAAACTTATCAAAGCCATGTATCCGTGTATACCGTACATAAAGAAGGCCAACATTTTAGCCAATTATATAAGAAACAGATTTTCGCAGCTTCAAGTGCAAGGGATCAAACAATAACAGAATTACTGATTTTCTTTTTCTGGTTTTCTTGATTAGCAATGTGCTGTTGTAATTTATCAGTTACCCTACTCATTTCTGGGCACTACGTTTCTGGGCAAAGAGTAACCAGCGACAACTACCTTCCGCAATTATGCTTTGCTGCCTCAATTGTAGTATGCCAAATTTCATGTTCATAGATTTCGAAGAATTATAAGTGCTCCTGAGAAAATGAAGAAGTAGAGAATCACTAGGCATTGAATTCAACCATGACTAAAGTCCGCGTAAGATGCTAGACTCGTTGATAATGTTGACAAACGAGGAACTTAGACTAGACTCAAAAGGTCATGAATTAAAGCAAAGTTCAAAGAGCTCCAATTTTCACGGAAAAAAAAAAAAGAAAAGAAAAAGTGCAATTGAAAATACCAAAAAACTTGAAACCGTCTTCTTTTCTTTGTCATTCCTTTGTATATGATCTGTGAACGAAATCAAGCATATTCATAGATGTACAAGCAAATTTTGTGAAGAGCTATTAATACTTACTAGGCGTCAGTTCTCAAAACATTACCCTTGCATTTATAGAATTAATTTCGGCTGACCACTTATTAGTTTGATATATGGATTGATAAGTTACTTGATAACACTGTTGGCAACCAAAAGTATGGAAAGAAAAATTAGTTGGCAGTGTTTTGGGAATTTATAATGAACTCGTTTTATTTTGAAATTATGCATTTACAATAAGTATTATTGCTTTCCCCATCACACCATTGCGCGCAATGGGTATCATGCTGAAATAACAAAATTTAAGGTAATTGTGCAAATTGGAGTGAGTTGACTTGCGTGGAGTATTACTCAAAGTGATTGAATCGGTCAATTATGAATGGGGTTCAAGGAATGAGATTGAGCTTTTTAATATTAATCCCATGATGATTATGTAGTATCTAGAACCATCATGTTACTCATGTCATGAAGACATGGACTAATTCACCTGGCAAATGATGGAGCCACACCCTAAAATCTCAAATGCAACCAGCAAAGTGTATAAAGCTACTCGTATAATATAGCCCCTAAAATATACTTAAGTTTCAGATTTTTATGAGTTATTGGTTTAAGAAAGGAGAGAACTTAAAAGTTAAGAGCCAGAGCTAATTTGGTTCATTGAAAGTGTAGTTGCCAGAATTAATTTAATTAATTTGGCTTTTGCTTTTTCATTTTTTCTAGGGAGTTGGTAGCTAGATTATCAAAACTTAGAAGAATTGTCCCATGCATGATATTAAACCTTAAACAAAAGATTAAGCAGCCAAGGAAGGGAGTTCAGAGTCCAGTTCCTCTACAGTATACAGACGAGTGGTGTAGTACCAAAAATGGGTTACGCGTTGTTGGACTCTGACTGTCCCTCCAACACGCAAAACTACAAGAAAAATGATTGGGACTTGACAGTGAAGTTGTAAGGGCCCCTGAATTAATCCCGCAAATTTTGCCATGATCGTATTCTAAACTCAGCCTACTTTTTTCTTTTTACGGCATAAGATGCGTCTACTTGGAATAAAGGGTACTTTTTTTTATATTTAAATTAACATTAATTACCATATAGTATATACATCTAATGATAATAATATACATGCAGTTAGTGATCCTGTCTATATATATATATTTTTGAGTTTAGTATAAGTTATGGAACTATTTTCTTGTATAGTGTGCCAAGTAATTAACAATTTTTATGTGTGAAAATGATGAAAAGACTGGTCACAATATATGTGTGCGTGTACGCGCGCGAGCACACACCTGTTAGCATTTGTAAATTTTCGAGACGTTGAAAATTCACTGTGGAGTTTCTGAGACGAATTAGATGAATGTCATTTTCAACTGATTTTTTCCTCTCATGCCAAAATTTCCCCCACCCAACCCAGTTAAGAAGAAGGAAAAAGAATATTTGTTGTACAATGAATGAATAATGTAAGTCTGTTGGCAATGAAAAGACGCTACTGTTAAATTTGACTAATCAAAATCGTGCCAGCGACTAGTTTTTATTCATCTTCTTCCCTTGTTACTGCTTTTTGGACCAGTGGGTGGAGGATTTTGTGGATTCACCGTCTAAAGTTCATGACTTTGGGAAAAGATACTGCAGCTTGTAAATGCATGTCCTTTTTGTTTTTCTGGTAAAATTGTAAAGTGTATGACCAAGTTGGAGATACAGACCTGCAACCTAGTAAGAAAAAGAAAAAAATATATATATATAAAGAAAGATTTTAGCCCCATTTTAGGAATTTGATTATTGACATGTCAAACAGCCCTTCTTGGCTTCTTCCACTATATATATATATATATATATATATATATATATATATATATATATATATATAGTAGTTGTCTCATGAAGATGCCAGCACTCCCACTAGACAAGTTATATGTCCTGCCCCTGAATTCCCTAAATACAACTTCTTATCATGAACCTCTCGTATTTCTTTTCTTGTCTACTTTTGGTCCATATATACATATAACCCTAATGAAAATCTTTTTCTTTTTTTGCACTGTTGTTATTTCAAATGTAATTCATTAGGTGCCATTTATACAAACCAATACATAGGTGAGTGAGCATTCAAGAGACATTCTCGTACGTTTTCAAAAAAAAAAAAATAATAATAATAAAGAAGAAGATTTTAGCATAAAAGTCACTTGAAGATTTTCAATTACTACAGCTTGATTAAGCTGAAATGGATGCTTTCAGCTAAACATTAGCGTTCGACCCTTATTAAAATGCAATTCTTGAGCTTGTCATCTTTGATCCAAAAGCACTATTGCCCAAAATCAGAATTTGAAATTTTACTTATTATATAAGCTCTTTCTTATTGAGAAGCTTCTGCACCTTGACCACACTATTGACTTAAAGAAGTTAATTTGGAAAAGTGTATAACTATAAAGGTGGATAATAATTATTAGTATGTACGTATACAGGATAGGTTGGGTATGATTTGCGCGTATTAACGAGTGTTCAATGGTTGGGCACTTGTTGAAAAAATCTTTAAAGAAAAAACTAAATGAGAAGGGAAAAAAATAACTACGCCAATGATGATTTTTACATTTTCTTTTTATATATGTAATTGGAAATCTTCAGACTAGTTCCAATGAAATTTCTAGCATTAACTTCATCGTACAAAATACAGAAAAAAACAAATCACCGGGCAAGGACTGAGTTGGAGGCTAATTGTACATGTAATGGGGAAAACAAAAAAGAAATAGATGAAAACTACATCGTAGTATGTCATCTAATGCTTGTTCGGTAGACGGGGTTGGATCGAGTGATGAGATGAGAGGAATTGTAAGCAGTAGGATATGGGTTCAAAGCCTCCGACTCAACCCAAAAGAAAAAAATCTTATGCTTGTTCAAATGAAAGGCAAAAGAAGAAGAAGGAGGACCAGGTCCACCAATTTGCCCAAATAAAACGGCATTTACTTTACTCCCCTAGAATACTCCATTCTCAAAGGAAAGAAGTTAGTTTCCTCCTCATTTCCCCACCCCACATTTTTATCACACATTTCAACCAAAGATCCAAAATTAAAGGGGCAGATTTTCCAAATATAATGCCAAACTCTTTAATCTTTTTTATGACTCATTAATTATGAATCTATATGTCCCCCAAGATGAATTCCCACGTCATGCATGGAATGGCATTCTTGAACCAGCCCCACCCTCCAAACCTTTGTACTTTGGCCCCTTTTTACCAGCCAAAAGGTAACAGAATCTACCGGCTTTTAATTTAAGTGATTTTCGACTTTTAATTGTATTTAATTACTCGAAATTTACTCTACCAAAGCAGCCACATTCCGTTATTAATCTTGAGTATACCACCAGCCCATACAGTTCTGTCAAACACCATATCCTACTGAGGTTGTAGTTGTTCCCTTCTTCTCAGGTCACTGCTAACTAGTTTGGGGCCATTTCTTTAATTATTATTGGATTATTTTGGTTACATTAAACTTGCAAGATAGGTAATATTAATCATTCATCCAACAAAACCCACCAAAAAAAAAAAGATAAAAGGAATAGAAAGGAAGAAAGAAAAGAAACAGAGTTATTAAGGGCTGTTTAGGAATGTAAAGATGCGGATAGACTTAAATGCAAAAGCTCGAATGTTACACGTCTTCATGCATACCCCTCAATTAATTAAGCAGTACAATTTCTTAATTTATTGCTGTTTGCCGTTTTTAACCAAAAACAAAAAAAGATTTACTTCCTCAAATTAAAGAAATCTGAACCGAATTCTCAAGACTGCATTACTAGATTATTATTATTATAATAATATATATTTTCAATGGTTGTTCGTGTAGGCTCATATACATAGTCACTCTCCTCGGTGTAAAGAAATGCTTGTCAACTACTCCTTTTTAGTTTCCTTCCACTCTCTTTATGCTTCAAACCAGAGAGGAAGAAGCAGCCTCCCAAGCACTTCTCTCCACAAAAAACAAAAGCATAAAGGGAGAGAGAGTCCTAATCCTAAGTTAGAGGGGGGGCGGGGGGAAAAGAAAAGAGAAGAGGCAAAAATTTTTTGGTGGGGTGAAGTTGATTTTGGCTTCTTTGATATGGAGAAGCACAGATGTAAGCTATGCTCTAGGAATTTTGCTAATGGCAGAGCTCTGGGTGGGCACATGAGATCTCACATGATGAATCTGTGCGCAGCATCCAAGGCCAAGCAGGAATTCATCAAAGAGGAGCATGAAGAAGAAGAAGTTATGAACATTAATGATGAGAGGCAAATTAGTGAAGAGTTTGAGTCAGTGCCATCATCATCTTTTTCATCATCATCATCGTCAGAAGATGAAGAGATTAATCCAAAGAAAAAGGTCGGCATGGTGATGGATCAAGAATTCTGTTTTGGAGGAGTTGAGGTAACCGCTGCTGCTGCTGATTCTGTTGTTGTTCAGGATAGGGAGAGTGAGACCGAGTCATCAAAGAATCCAATTTGTAGAAGATCCAAAAGAGTTAGGAAATCAAGAGTTTCGGATGCAGTCCAATTTTCCGGTTATATTAATGATAGGATGGCAGAACTGAAAAAGCCCAAGTCTGGAAAACAGGGCAGGTTTTCTTGTGAATTACCATTTGCGGATGCTGAACCCGTTAGTTCAATCTCTGATACCACCACAGAAGAAGTTGTTGCTTATTGCTTGATGATGCTATCTAGAGACAAGTGGAAGAAAGAAGACAATGAAGAAGAAGCCATGTACGGAGGAGAAGAAGTGGAGGAGGAGGAGGAGGAGGCAGAGGAAGGAAAGGCTGATCATGAAGAACCAAAAAAGCAGAAAAAGAATAAAGATGCAAAGAGCCAGTACTGTCATGATTTTGGTGTGGTTAAAGTAACCAAGAGCAGGACTAGGGGGAAGTACAGATGTGAAACATGTAACAAAGCATTTCGCTCTTATCAGGCCTTGGGGGGGCACAGAGCCAGTCACAAGAGAATTAAAGCCCACAACAGCAATTCAACAGAGGAAGAAGTAGCAGGGGTGGAAACAGGGAATGCGGCCTCAGCTGCTGCAGTTTCTAGTGCGGTAGTTGAAGAGAAGATACATGAATGCCCAGTTTGCTACAGAATTTTCTCATCAGGTCAGGCTCTAGGTGGGCACAAGAGATCACATGTCATGGGTGCAGCTGCAGTAGCGGCAGCGGCGGCAGCGGCGGCAGCAACCACACATGTCAGTATCAGGACTAGTCCTGCAGCTAAACCATTTTCAAGATTTGGAGAGACTTTCATAGATCTTAATCTTCCAGCTCCAGTTGATGATGATGAGATCAGTCAAATCGAACTTTCTGCAGTTTCTGATGCTGAATTTGTCAACCCATTCAAGCAATGAAACTCTTCAAATTAGGAACTTTTTGCAGGAAAAAAAAAAAGAAGAAGTAGATTCACAGTAACAGATGAACTTTTCTTGGGTAGCTTGAATGAATGAAATCCCATCGGTTTACTAATCAGAATGTAATTTAAACCATTGGATAGAAAGGGTTTCTTGATATTTGCCCATTTTACTTATCATTGGCCTGTAATTCGCTTCATTCCAAATCCTGTTACTCTTGACAGCTACGACATCATTTAACCCAAGGCAACTCATTTTAATCAGTACTGATAGCTAAAACTCTTCCAAATTTGGAACAAGATTATGCAGAAAAGAGCTCTTGCATGTGCCAACACTTTTCGGTAAAATGGAAATACGGTACTGCTATTATGTTTTTTGGTTGCTTTTTCATATATGCTATAGGTGACAAGGAGGAAAATCCCAAGTGAGACTCCAATACAAGTAATTGATCTGAACAAAGAACAAATCGTTCATATTTACCAATGGGATTAACTCTCGTGTCGCTACAGTGACAGGGAATCAGTTTTGTGGGGCGCAGTGGTTCGGCTTCCTACCAAGTGCGGATCACAGTTTGGCCATTTCAATGTGGCTTTCATTATTTTATTTTTATTTTCCCCCCTATTTTGACCGCGTGGGGAAGGGGGGAGTTGGAAGACTTGAAGCAGTATCGAAAGTGCTCTGATCTCATGGTTTTCTTTTCCATTCCACCTGTTCAATCAATCCAAGTAGGCATTTTCTTTGTAATTTCTTGAACAAAAAAATTTTTGTTTTTTTTTGGCTTTTTTGGGGGAAAGAAGTTGCTTAAGAAAGGAAGGTGTGTGAATGAAATGAAATAATAAATAATGATAAAAGGCAAGTTCCACCTGTCACAACTGTCCTAATAGTACCAGAGTTCGGTGGAGTTGAAGCTCAGCAACAACAGAGGAAGCTAATTCCCTCTTAGCATTTCCTCTGTTCTTTCCTTGTCTTTGTCTCCTCTTTTCCTCTCTCATCTTTTTTGTACTTTTACTTTCCGTGGTGCCTGCAACTATTCCAGGCTTCGGTTGAAGATCTGAAATTATTTTCAGCCTACTACGCACTCCACAGAATTCAATAGTCTAATTTCAATTCAATTTTTAGGAGCAAATAATTTACATTAAGCTTTTATACTATTCAATTCTTGAAAAGATAAATGGAAAGTGAAAAATGCTTTCCTTTGTTTAATTGTTGGAGGGGAATATTGATGGACGGTTTGGTCATTGGTGTTGTGTTGTGTTATCAATGAGAGAGCCTAGTAGTATCATATCAGGTTCATGCATGGTGAGTGAAAATATACCACAGCCTTTACTCACATTGATGAGTGGATATCGATTGGCCAACCTGCTTGCTTTTGGTTTTCTACTGCTTACCTCTTCTTCTTTCTTTTTTTTTTGTTTTAAATAATCGAAAAAGAACACTAATAAATTACTATATTCTTTTCGTCTAATATAAATACAAGTAAGTAATTAATAAAGTAGAACGACTGAATCCTGTAAACATAGGTTTTAAAGCGTTATCTTTGTGATTTTGATTTTTTTTTATCGTTTACTTTCTCCTTAATTATGTTGTATTCATTACATCTTTAGAGCCAATGGCAAAGGCTAGGAGACGAATTTTAGAGGGGTTACGACTTCTTTCTATTATGAAGGAATTGTATATAGTTCTTGAGGGGTTACGACTTTTGTTTATGAAGGAATTATATATAATTCTTCAGGGGTTACGACTTAAGTACAAAGTCAGGTTTAGATGGGTTTTTTTTTTTTTTTTTTTTTTAAATTTAGGGTTTGATTATTAAACACATTGAAAGTGATATAAGGAGACACTTGTCATTTCCTAGGATCAAATGTCATGTTGGGTTTCCTTTAGTGCCACAAAGCATAACTATATGGCCAGCATTTTCAGCAAGCCAATTTTTTTTTTTTGTAATTTTTGGAAATTGGAGTAACTTGGAGCTTCTTTTCATTGCCTAAACAACATGCTCCAGACGTGTCGAGCAGAAAATCACAGTACCATTCCATTAGTAGCATACAAAGGCAAATTTATGTACCAATGATCGACCACATTTGTCCCCACGAGTTTAGCCACATGGTAGCAGTGTTTACTTGGGACATTCAGGTCCCGGGTTCGAAACTGTGCTATTGGGACGCCTGTGCACTTATCCTGCCTTGGTCGGGTTGGAGCGCCGGGCTCGGGCCGCAGGGGATTAGTCGGACTCCGTAAGAATTGACCCAAACATCCCTGTGTCGACAAAAAAAAAAAAAAAAAATCGACCACATTGGTTTTCTTTTGGATATATTCAAATTGCAACTAGTATATCCAATTTAAAAAAAAAAATTTACCAACTAAAGCAAAGAGAACTTAATTGATTTTTTTCCAATTCAAAAGAAAAAAGGGAAAAGAAAAAGAATTGAAGCTGTTGAAAATATGTAGTAGCTATTTGATTTAAACCACTAATTAATATTCTTCAACATTCAACAACCATCCAACTTGCAAGCTTGGGCATTTTACCTTTTTGTTTGTCCATTGGTTCATGGTTCTGGGGTTGGAAATAAAGTCAACTTCGACCACCACATCTCTCAAGATGGATGGATGACTCAAAGAGTAGAAATTTTATCGGTGACATTTGAAGGTTTCGTTCCAGAGCAGAGTTATTCAACACCAACGATGTTCTAGTTTCTGGTTATATTTTAGAATTTTCTGTGCTCAACTAACTATATGGATATTCGGTCAACAGAAATTATCAATGCACAATAATCAAAAGTCAAAGCTCTGATACATGACGAAACCAATCAAATTTATGGGCAAGGTGGCCTTAGTCGGCTTACGGATTTAGCGCCCCTAAAAATTTTTAAAAAAATGCTTATTGCAGTTGAATTATTTTATATATTTTTTTTGGATAGATAAAGTTTGGATGGATTCAACTCGCCACCATCACAAGTTAAAACATGCACTCGAAAGTGGATTTTTACAGATCATCGACCAATAAAGTTCTCAAATTGATAATAGGATTCAAATACACAATCAGAAACTCTTACAAATCATCTATCAATACAGTCCTCACATCGATATCGGAATTCAAAACACGAATTATACAACCCTTATATGGACGGCGAGATTTGAACGCACAGCCTTTGATAAAAAAAAATTGATCCGTCCTTATTAATTGAGTCAACTTGTATTAGGCGTACTATATGTTTATTAGTTCCTGTGCAATCTACGACTTGTTCTTTCATTCAACTAGATTATGTTTAAGGAGGTACGGATGTGGTCCTGTTTAATTAATCTTTGGTTGGGGGACAACGGATGTTTCCAAAGAAGTTGAGGCCGTTATCGTGAAATCTTATGCCTTGTTTGGATTGCTGTTTTTCGTCGAAAAATTACGTCGTTTTCCGAAATCACATTTCCCTATTACCTTTTTCCCTCACATACATCAAATCGTTGCAGTAATTTTTCCATGAAAAATCATGAAAAATGCAATCCAAACACAACCTTAATTAAGCATTCTATTCGACCTTCTAAAGTACTTTATTTTTGTTAGAATGGAGAGTTAATATTATATACACTGAATTGAACATGTATACGATATCAGGTCGGTTGAATACATAATACATATACAATATTTGAATTTTAAATTCAAATTTAGATTAATTGTTATGTATTTAATAGTGATAGTTTATACTACTACATTATATCACTGTATAGAAAATTAATTTTAAAATGAAACCTGATTCTTAATTGAACCAGTGTGTATAAGAAATTTCGGTTCCACGGCCAGAAATATCCGGAGTCTTCAGCAGAGTTACACGTATTTTCAATTGAAAACAATCGAAAGATCCATGGAGAAGGATCCATGCAATGTTGTGCTTTTTTTTTAAGGTCAAAATGATCATGCTAATATTCTTTACACAGAATTAATGCCTAATGGGATTCCTCCCCTATCTATCTTGCTTTTCACACAAAAAGGAAAAGCCTAAAGGAAAGTGCAATCAGAACTACTGCTACCATGACCAAATGCTAGAATATACCACCACTTCATTTGTTTGCTTTCTTTCTTTACAACTTTTTCGTTTTTCTTATAGTTTCAGTGGATGAGATATTTGAGATTGCGCATCGCGTGCAATTCCAATGGCACATTTTACTGGGATTAGAACGTCGAATCCCCTATTCAAGAAGTAAAAGAAAACTTTTGATTCTCTGTCCTTACATATAAGTGGATGTGTCATCTTCAACTTCAACAGAACTTTCTATTATGAGAGTTAGGACGAGGGAAAAGAAAATTAAGCAGACCTGATTCTTCTTTTGGATCAGGATTTAACAATTACGGCTCCCAATTGTCTAGGTCAATTCTAAGTAGAGGCATTAGCACATCTTTAACAAAATCTTTTTAGTATGATTGAAAAGAATTAACGCTTTAAATTTGCATGAATTGCAAAAATAGCTAGTTATTTGTAAGCAAGTTTCAAGCATAAAATCTGAATAATTGGCTGTGACAAAAAATCATAAACCTTCACCAATCTGGAGACGAGTTCCTAGTCTCTTTAAGTCTTGACTTTGATAACGCTAATCTTTAGTTAATGGGTGATCAAATCAGCCAAAGCCACATAAATCAAGTGAGCATAGTTATGGGAGGAGAGGATTGGGTTGGGTGGCTTTTTATAGTTGGATGTGAGGCGCATTGCGTCGGTGGGTCGGTCCTGCTTCCATTGAAAACGAAAGAAACTTAAAACAGACGAGAAAAACCTAATAGCAAGTGCCTTCACATTTCTATGCACCATGCAATCGATCCATGACACCGAGTGGTAAGTGGTGCGGAAAGTCTTGATTGGCCTTCTTCGTGTGGAATTTTGAAGGTTGGAGAAACAAACGAAACCACCCATGATAACTTTTGCCGGCTTATGACTTCCAAATTATGTCCCCCAAAAGGAACGAGTCAACAATAATCTTTTCACCTCTTTTCTTCATATTTCTACCAAAAAGACTACAATACATCATCACAAGTTACATCATTGGAACTGCACTTTCTTGCTAACATTAATTAATCCTAATCGATCGGCTGTATTTGTGTATCCAAATGGATGGAATTTAAAGCTCAACTCTAGCAACCACGAATCTAGTCTACACCTCTTTGGTGACTCTGGATTTTTGGGTCATCAACTTGAATCAATGTATAGCTTTTAATCAATAGTACTACTTTCAACGACTTTGTCAGTCTAACTTGGACGTTTTGTTCCAATTCAGTCTTCCA